GGGGATGGAGAAGGAGGAGGAGGAGCAGCAGGAGGAGGAAGAGGAGGAGGAGGAATCATCCGGGTCTCTCGGGTGGCCACGAGGGTGAGTTAAAGGGTCCCTGAGGGGCCACACCCTGGTTTCTACCCCAGGAGAGCTGTCTGCTTCTGCAGAGAGTTGAGATGTCACTGACATTGCCTGATTTCCTGGCCCAGCCATGCTGTGAGGTAAAGGACACCCACATGAGCCATTTGCCATTGGTACACAGTGGCTTCCATGACTCAAGCAGGTTGCCGGTGTCACCTAACAATTAACAAGAGCTGGTTTATTTATTTTTGACATGGATTCTCCCTGTGATGCCCAGGCTAGGCCCAACACCTCAGCTCAAGCAGTTCTCTCACCTCATCCTCTCAAGTAGTTGGCACTACAGCCATGGGCCACCATGCCTGGCTGTCATTATTTGTTTTTACTGATAAGGAAGTGGATGTGCAGGAAACATCATGACATTCACCACTGCCTCAAACCCCAAGGTTCTGTGTTATTTGAAAGGACATGAGAAATTTTCCTCTGTGGATCACAGTATTTGGAATACCTCAAATTTATTTTTATCCAGAGTCAAAATAAAGCAATGAATAAATTGCATTAAAATTAGTCTTAAACTGAGAGTGGTGGACACACCTATAAACCCAGAACTCAGGAGTCTGAGACAAGAGGGTCGTGAATCTGAAGCCAGTCTGGGCTGTCCAAAGAGTTTGAGGTCAGCCTGAGCTACATAGCAAGACCCTGTTTCAAAACCAACCAAGCAACCAACCAACATTCTTTGTCATCACTTTCTGGAACATTCACAAGGCTGTACTGTGAGTTTTTAAAACTAGTTGTGGGAATGAATTTTTTAGGTAACTTTAGCCCAACTTTTTGATAGAGTTTGCAATAATAATTTTAAAATTTGAGTCAGAACCAAAAAATTTAGTTCATGGAGGTCATTAAGGTCAGTAAAATAAGTAAAACTAATAATAATTTTACTTACCTTATCAATTCAGCTGTAGTTTTCTAGATTCTTTGCATGACCTGGACAGGATGTTTTGACTTACGAGTGAGCTTTAAGAACACATGAATCTTTGTGGTTACTTTCAGCTCAGAAAACTTGCTGAGCCTCATGTCTTCAAGGCCTGTGGGTTCCTGCGGGATGTGTGTGCCCAATGCTAAGTACATTGTATGTGACGAGGAAACACCCCCTTATCCTGTGACAGCAGCCCTGGCTTCTGGTTGTGTCCTGGAAGAATCCTTTGGGATTTATAGGTTTATTGTCTCCCTTTCTCTTGAAGCTTCTCCTAGCCTACAGGCTGGATTCTATTTCCGCTAGAAGTAGACATCTTTCTAGGACTCTGTCACCACACTTCACTTTAGGAGCCACTATGGTTGTCTCAGGAAAGAACTTAAATTACCTCCAAACAACATACTAGACATGAGCAGAACACAGGGTGATGGGATGGGGTGACAATGTGTGATCTTGAAAGTCACCAAGGAAAGGACTATCTAGGCAGGGTTCATCATGTGAATCCATTTTATAGATAGTATTATTAGTACAAGGCATGCCAAGCCCTTTTATAAAGGTTTTCTCTTTTCATATTTATACCGAAACTCTCGGATGTTTTATTTTATTTTATTTTATTTTATTTTTGGTACTGGGGATCAAACTCAGGACCTTTCGCTGGTGAGGCAGGCGGTGGAACCACTGAGCTAAATCCCTGGCCCTATACCAACACTCTGAAGTAGGTCTTAGTATCGTATAGGAAACTGAGGCTCAGAGAAGATAAGGAATTTGCCCAAGGACACAGAGCTAACAGGCAATTGTATAGCATTCCCTCGGCCTGCCCTTCTTTGGGCCCCAAGCTGTGTTCTATTTCCCTAGCAGAGCTCAGGAAGGGAACAGGAAGGGCTATTTTGGGAACATGTTGTGTGCTCTCTGTACCTTATGAACATCTTTATGTGTCAGCCTTGGGGTCATTGGCCCCGGATCCCAGAATTAGCCAGGAAGCCCCAGAGCCACTTACTCCCAAACCCATATGCCTTCCATTTACCAGCAGTTTTCAAACTATGTCAAAATTGGCATTAGAACACTTTTTCATCCCAAATCTTTTGTGGATATCCAACATATAATAGACATACATAGTCAACTGTAGTCAAACCTATGTGAGAAGCTGAAGCAGGAGGATCACTTGAGTCCAGGAGTTTGGGAGCCAGCTTGGGCAGCACAGCAAGACCTTGTCTCCAAGAAAAGAACCGCATGTTTTACCTCTTCTGTTGAAGTCGGTAGGTAGGAGTGGCACCAAATCTGTGCCCTGGCTGCTCCATTCATCAGGGGTTGTTAGAGAATCTCCTCCTCCACGTGCCTGCACACAGAAGCTGACAGTAGGGAAGTGGAGGTGGGTGGACACTGGAGAAGATGAGAAAGAAGTAGCACTTCCGCAGGTAGGCAGCACCCACGTGGTGAAGGTGAATATTTGGAATGCAGGTTGTCAAAGGGAGAGGGGTCCCCGAACTGTACGTGAACTCAAGCTTGTGTTGCTGGGCTGTGGGGTCACTTCCTGTCCAGAACATGCATGGACCAGGCCTTCTTATCACCTCTCGTCCACCAGTTGGCAGGAAAGTGCCAGTGGCCTATGTTCTCCCAGAATCAGTGTGATTTTTCTGAGCTTTTAGTAAACAGGGCCACAGAACGAGGAAGCGCACTGATGTCTTCCTTCACATGTGACTGTGGTCTGGCCCCACTTTATGCACTGCAGCCCTCTTCCTCTTAAGCTTTTGCCCATGCTCCATATCAGACTTGGTAAGCAGGCGAACCCAGGGGGAGGGCTGATCTTACCCACTGTATTAGTAAGGGGTCTCCAGAGACAACCAGTAGCTTATGTGTGGAGATCGAGGAGAGAGATTTATTAGGGAACTGGTTCATGTGATTGTGGTGCTAAGAAGTCCCAAGATTGGTCCTCAGCAAACCGGAGACCTGGGGATACCAGTAGCATAGATCAATCCAAGTCAGAAGGGCTCAGAACCAGGAAAGCTGGTTGTTGTGACTCTTGGTTCAAGGCTGAAGGCCAAAAGCCCAGGGAGGGGATCACTGGTACAAACCCATGCTCGAGTTCAATGGCCAGCGAACCTGGATTTGGGATATCCAAGGTAGGAGACGACTTATTCCCCATCTGTCAGGGAGACAGACCAGATCACCCTCTGTATTTATTCTCTCCATGCCCTTGGCTGACTGGATAATGCCTGAGTGGTGGAGGACAGGTCTTCTGAACCTAGTCATTCAAACTTTCATGGTAACCTTCTTTGGAAACACCTTTGCAGACATAGCCAAAAGTCATGTTTGCCATGTGCCTAGGTATTCCTTCATCCAGTCATGTTGACACCTATAATGACCCATCACACCCAGCTTGGGGGAGCCCTGAGTTCCTCCAGTACCCAACATGTTCTCAAGTGGCCTCCTTGTGCCCTTTCACACAGTTTCACACCTCAGTCTTAAGCCTTGTCACAGCCTAGCACTCTGGAAGCCAATAACAAAAGAAGGTGAAGGTGGTTTCTGGTATCCTTAGCATTGTTGATTTAATCTGCTTGCCCCAGGCCTCAGCAATGCAGCCAAATGGGAAAGGAGGGGAAATCCCAGACCTCTCAGTGTGATGTTTGCCTAGGCTTTAACATCATTCCTACTCCCACTGACAACTCTACCACTGAGCTCAACAGTCCAACAAAATTACCCTGTCCTTGATCCCGGCTCATTCCTGTAGGGAAAGAAGAGGGAGGGGGAAGCAAAGAGGCCCAAACCAAGTCATTTCACTCCTAGGACTTTGTTCTAAGAAGGGAAGAATATGTATATGTGTTTATAATGTGCAGTTACTGAATGCAGGATACCCACATTAATTCAAAAATTGGAAGGAACTTAGATATTTGACAATGATAAATGATTAAATAAATTACATAATCAGTCATATGTATGCAACTAAACATAGTAGCATCTATAAGATCACAAATATACCTAAAAATAAGTAGAAGAAACATAATTTTAAAATTGTGGCTTTATAGTTTATATGCCACATACGTATAGACAGATATTTGAAAAAAAGTTGTTAAACTGAAGATGTTTAAGGAGAAGAATCTGTGGATTGTTTTCATTTTACAAGTTGTTAATACCATAAAGTTTTTAGCATATGTTTAGAAGAGCAAGACTGGGGATGTAGCTTAGTGGTCAAGCACTTGGCTATCGGTAAAGTGCTAGGTTTGAACCCTAACATTGCAAAATAAATAAATAAACAATAAAACATTCACAAGAGCAGATTTAATATTTTTTCTCTCATAATATTCAAGGAAGCTCTTTACATTAGGTTACGATCTACATAGGAGAAAATTTTACAGCTTCTTATAAGCAGATATCAGCTGTTATCTGCTATAAAGAAAGAAACAACCCAAAGAAAGGACTGTGGAGAAGGGAAGTTTATTCTACTTGGATTTTAGATTTGTATGAGTGCTAATTTGTGCCTGAGGGAAACTCTGAAATGGAAAGGGAGCTGCTGTGTTGACCAGTAGTGAGTATTTTCTGGTAGAGACTTCTTAAGAATCTGATAAAAGAACTCTAGGAAATCTTCAAAACAGACACACACACACACACGCACACACACACACACACACACACACACAAATAATGCTTTATTTACAATCTCAGATGATTCCTCCATTGCCTCTGGTCCATTTATGGATCCCCTAAGGGACTCTTAAGATGCAGGGTAGAAAGTTCTGTATAACAAACTGGTGTTGGCACAGACATCATTCGGTGAATTTCTTTAAGTGATGGTAAAAATAATGGATTGTTTCACAGTAAAGTTTTGGAAACAGTGACTCCTGGACATTGGGAAGTGGCAGGCATCAGAATGCCATCAGGCCACCACATTGAGTCACAGTTGCTAGAAAGATGGTCACAAAATGGGGTCCCAGATGCCAGCAAGCACTCATTTGCACTTGCGTGTACATCTCAACATTACAATTCTTTTGTCTTTGCAGCCCGCTGTCATGGATTGAAGAGAAAGGGCCTGGTCTAAAACGAAACAGATATTTAAGTTTCCATTTCAAATCTGGGTCCCTGGAGAATGTGCCAAATGTGGGAGTCAATAAGAACATTTTTCTGAAAGACCAAAATATATTTGTCCAGAAACTCTTGGGCCAAGTCTCTGAGAAGGAGCTGGCTGCTGAAAAGAAACGCATCCTACATTGCCTGGCACTGGCAGAAGAAATCCAGAAGTTCTGCCACTCAAAGAAGTAAGAGAAGGAAGTGACATGGTGCCTCCCAAATGAAAACAGAGTTTGGGTTTCATCAAGAGTTGACCTTTAGTTCTGTTCTTCCAGTGGATTGGGTAAACAGAATTCACCTAATCTTATGAGCTGTGTTGCTGTGCTGTTTTGGGCTGAGGTTGTGCAGTAAGAGTGAGGAAAGAACTTATCATAGTGGACATGAGCTAAGAGCTTCCTATGTATGATTTCATTTACTCTTCCCAACAGCCATAGCAGACAGGCATGACATGTCCTGTTTCCTTTGATGTACTGGAAAACTTTGTTTGAAGTCATTCAGACAGTAAATAAAAGTGGACTTTCAAGCCTACCCAGGTTCTGAGCTCTCTAAATACTGCCTCAGAGTCTCTTCCCCACTTTAAAAAATGTTACTGTCTCCCACAAATATTCACTGGATAATCTAGTTACTTTTCTTGCTGCTGAGGTAAAATACCTAAAGTTAGAGGAGGAAAAGTTTATTTAGCTCACATTTTGTAGAGGTTTCAGTCTATAATTGGGTCCAGCGTAGGGTGGCATGGCAGCCTTGAGGGGAAATAGTTCATGGAGGGCAGAAGGTAGCAAGGGATAACCATAGTTCTTTCTGTCCCTTATATCTTATCCAGCTGCTTAGGACAAATAGCACTCATACCCTTAATCCTGGTGTCCTTGAGCCTAGCATTGCACCATGAATCAATTCCAGCGGCACATACTCTACATCCAGCCACCTCTGAAAAAGGCCCTCCTATGATCACATGAAACTTTGAGGGAGGGGATATCCAAACACTTGATGACTCTGTAGTTGCTTGTAAAATACAGCCACTGCCCTTAGTAACACAGTGTCAAAAGGGAGCCAGACACACACTGGGGAAGGTGAGGGGGAGGCTGCTCCTGGCAGAGGTCTGGCATGAGCATGAAGTTGTGCACAGGAAGCAGCCTGGAGGGTGTCTTGGGAACAGAGTTGCTAGAACATGGGTCTGCAGGAGGGAATCCCAAATGGCAAATCCAATTTTGAGGAAGACCTCTAAAACAGATACAAGAGCTAGGGTGTGATGTATTAGGTAGTGCGAGGGCACTGAAGTTTGTCAGTTGATGGAGAAGGAGCATGGTCACCTTTACAGACAAGGGAAAGCACTCAGAAGGCTCCTGGGCACAGGTGAGATTTCAGACGAGGAGGCATCCAATTAAGGGACAGAAGTGAGGTCCTTACCAGTGTCTTCCTACCCCTTTTATCTTATTCTAATGCCAGGTAGCACTCATGCCCTTAGTCCCAGTGCCTTTGGGCCTAGCCCCATCATGAATCAATCACGCACTCTAGATTCAGCCACCTCTGCAAAATAATGAGGCTTTGGGGGGATGTTTAAACACAAGCCATAACAATCATTTTAATAGATACAGAAAAAGCATTTGACAAAGTTCAACAATCATTCATGGTAAAAAAAAAAAAAAAACTCTTCAGATAATTGGAATAGATGGTCTTTATCTCAATCTGATAAAATCCATCTATGAAAAACCAACAGCCAACATCATACTAAATGGTCCAAAACTGAAAGCTTTCACTCTAAAATTAGGAACAAGTCAAGGGTGTCAGATATCACCACTCCTGTTCTGGAAACATTAGCCAGAGCAATTACACAAGGGGAAGAAATAAAAGGAATAAGGATAGGAAAGGTAGAAATTAAATTATCATTATTTGTGGATGACATGATACTCTACATAGAAGACCTCAAAAACTCCTAGATTTAATAACTAAATTTAGTAGCATACCAGGATACAAAATGAACACTCAAAAATTAACAGCTTTCCTGTACACAAACAAACTCACTGAGAGAGAAATTAGGGAAACAACACCTTTCACAATAGCATCCAGAAAGTGAAATACACAGGAATCAATCTAATAAAGGAAGTAAAAGACCTTTACATTAAAAAATACAATCCTCTGAAAAAGAAGATTGAAAAGGATATAGGAAAATGGAAAGACATCCCTTGTTCTTAGATTAGGAAAACTAATATAGTGAAAATGCCCAGACTTCCAAAACTGTTATACAGATTTAAAGCAATCCCAAATAAAATGCCAGTGGCATACCACATAGAACTATACAAAACAACCCTAAAACTCATCTGGAACCAGAAGAGACCTAGAATAGTAAAAGCAATCCTGGGCAACAAAGGAAAGGCAGGAGACATCACAATCTCTGACCTGAAATTATACTACAAAGCTACCGTGATAAACACAGCATAGTACTGGCAAAAACCCCAAATCAAACCAACACAAAAAATAAAAAACAAAAAACAAACCCCTGAGGATCAATGGAAGAGAATAAAAGATGCAGAAACAATTCCACATGCATTCAGCCACCTTACCTTAAAAAAGGGGCAAACATCTAAAAAGCCTCTTTTGTAAATGATGCTGGGAAAACTGGCTTTCCAAATGCTGAAAATTAAAGCTAGACTCATATCTCTCACCATGCACTAAAATAAAATAAAAATGTATCAAAGATCTGAATACTAAAATGGAAACATTAAATTTACTGGAAGATAGACTAGGTAAAACTCTGGAAGACATAGATGTAGGCAAAGACTATGAACAAACCCCAATCACAGGAAATATTACAAAGAATCAACAATTGGATTCACATCGAATTCAGAAGCTTGCACAGCAAAAGAAACTACTAACAGAGTGAAGAGCAAACCAACAGAATGAGAAAAAGTTTTTTACCACTTACTTCTCAGACAAAGGACTAATACCTAGAATATACAAAGAATTAAAGAAAAATCAGATCCCCCAAATGTAAAGACCCAATCCAAAAGTGGCATCTGAAATGAATAGATATTTCTCAGATGACGAAGTACAAACAGCAAATAAATATATGAAAAAATGCTCAACATCACCGGTCATTTGAGAAACGCAAATTAAAACAACACTGACATTCCATCTCACTCCACAAAGAATGACCATTATCAAGAAATCAACCAGAGGAGCCTTCTGGGCCACCATACCACCACCCCCCCCAGTGCCGAGGAGCAGAGCCACCCCCAGCACTGAGGAGGAGCATTCCAGGCTGCTATACCCCCACCTGAAGCACTGAGGAGATGAGCCTCGTGGGCACCATCAGCACCCCCAACCTCCTGTTGAAATGAGAAGACACATAAACAAATCTCAAAACCAGACTTCCATATCACCTAAAGCAACCCCAAAAGGAAAAGAGATGGAACAATCTAATAATCAACAACCTGGACTCCCTGAACTGGCAATGAAAGAGGATCTGAAAAAATGAAATCAGAAATAATTTCTCACATAACAGCAGAGATTGCACCCATACTGCAAGACATGATTAATAAATCTAGAGAGGACACAGATTAAAAAAAATAGAGGAGCTGAGGAACATGATGGAATCCCAATGCAGGAAAGAAATGGAATCCACAAAACAAATGCAAACATTTCCAGGAGATTAAAAATTCCATTGAAAGTCTATGCAGCAGAATGAGCCAATGTGAGGACAGAATTTCAGATATAAAAGATAGGATTGCAATTAGTGACCAGGAAAAGAAACATTTCTTTAAAATTGTAAGGGACCATGAGAAATCAATCCAGCAGCTGCTAGACGATGCAAAGAAGAATAACATAAGACTGATTGGAGTCAGT